TGGTGCCATCACTCTAACTAAACACATATAGACCAACATCAAATTGAGAAGCGCACCAGTGATCAAAGCAAGACCTGTAAAAACATTTCAAAATTATATGGCAATTTGGTTCCCGTTTTCTACCCCAACCTACAATAGTATACATATCATCAATCAACAAAAACTTTACATAACATGGCTCTGATACCAACAAATATAATACCACATACTCAGTCTAGGAGTCCGAGATGAATACCTGAGCGTACATTAGGTTCTAATTATGTTGGAGAGATCAAGATCTACATTCAGCACATTCCGCGGAAGTAAACAAATTAAAATCTCTTATTATTCATCACATATAACGTTCAATGTAATTAACATTCAATTGAATCTAAATTAAACATGCAAACTTATTTAAATGTTTAGGGGTATTTTGGTAATTTTACATCACATAATAAATCAACAAGTCAAATCTCCCAATTAAGGTTACTATATGTTAAAAAATGTCATAAGAAAGCATCACGTAAAAATTTCATACCAATCGGACACCAAATAATCACTCAATTGATAATACAAGATTAGGGTCCTAAATATAAATATACAAAACTTATGTACCAAACAATAACATGCAAATGAGGGTTCCATTATGTAATTAAGTGTGCTAAATAAGTGACCACTCAAATCTCATCAAATTCCAATTTAAGAGTTTAAATAATTAAGCAAATCAATTCTTAGGTTAACTTGAACTCACATAATCATTCAGGGGCTACTTATAATTTAAGAATACTTCAGACCTTTAATGAATGCAATTTCACCTTTTTCTATTGAGCAAAACAGCGAAGGGATCAATCATTTCTTGAAAGGGATTGATTTTTTTCACGAGGGATTGATTCTTACCAAAACAGAAAGTTTAGGATCGATCATTTCCCCTAAAGGGTCGATTTTTTTCTGAAAAATTGCATATTTTCTATGAACATGCATATTTGGTCAACTAATCACACACATAAAAATAATCGTGGACTAGGAACATGCTTGGACACTATTCAACCACTTCATATATTTCAAAAAAAAGGTGTATCATGCTCTAAAACACAAGTCAACATATTAATCAAGGATTTGACACCAAAAGTTAACAATTGCATAAAAGTTCATTTCAAGCACAAGTCACCTACTCATTTTCGGCATTTAAGGTCGTTTCATGCAACCTAAGAGTCTAACATGTTTAATTTACCTAGTTACACTTAACTAAACACTCCAAACACTTCTTTAGAGTCTAAATCAACATTTGAGTAATCTCATGCTTCAAGAAACAAGTTCATACTTATAAATCATATGTGAACAAATCAAAACAACATCAAATCCCAAACGTAAATCCAGTTATTACAAACCAAAATCTAACATTATAAGTTCAACAAAAAGAATAATAGGTATAAGTCCCAAATATCCCCAAATTAACACATAAAGTTTTTACAAACCACATACATATAGCATTTTGCCTTAGCCTTGCTTGATCACACCGATACCAAGCTCCTCACCTCCAAACTCGACTCTAATCCTCTGAAAAATGTTAAGAACAAGTGTGAGCTTATAAAGCCCAGTTAACGACTAACATCCAAAGTAATGCACTTAACCAAGATAAAGATCAATCATATATGTTCATACGTAACTTGTTCCATACTCTATACATATAATTCAAAATCTCATACATGAATGATCAACAAATATTTTCCAAATCACTTGATTTCCAGATTAAACAAACATCAAAGGACCATATAGTTCAAAAGCAATCACATGCACACATGCACAATTACCTTCCTTGACAAGTCACACAATCACTCACATTTTTCCATTTTAAGATCAACGACTTTTGTTCGAAACACAACTCACTCATTGGATAAACAAGCTCTATACAACTCATATTTTGCTTACAAACTCACATATATCTAAAACCACGAATTACGGAGTAAACTCAATGCCCAACCTTACCCCTTATCTTCTCGGAGCAAAGCTCAATGTACCATTCAAACTCCGTATAATCCTGAATCACACACTAATACAAAACACATATAGTACTTTTTCCTAGGCATGCCTTTTATATCCAAAGGTCCTATTGAGAATAATAGCCAAATAATCCAATTCACCAAGAGCAGTTGTCAATGATGCATAGTTTACACATATCGATTCAAATACACTTTGAAACACACTTACGGATTTGGTTTTCATGATCAAATCAAATATTTGGACATCGAGAAAGTTCAGCTTATCCAATTCACATTCAAAATATATATAGATTTTCACAAAACCATTTCCAAAATCCTATGCATCATTTGCAACACATCACATTCACAATTCACATTCTCATTTCCATTGTAAGTGGCATCATATGTAAATCTACATAATTCATATTCAATCATCATAATTATCCAAACAACACAATATATATATTGGAATTACAATGCAACACTATACAACCTCAATCTTGAACCATGTTCATTTCCTAAGAATAAGAGCCACTCACCTTGTTATCTGGAAACTAAAAATGCTTCCAAACACTATCTCAACGTTCACCAAACTCAAAGCACGAAGTTTCCTCAACGAAAAACACAATAAGAACCTTTCAAAGCAAATTATCACATCAAAATCTAATCTAAAACAAAGAAGAATCCTCTGTTTAATTCTAAAACAGAACTCAAACGCGAAAAACACCGAAAACCTTATCGAAAAGTCACTTCGGAAGCTCCAAACCGAAACGCAAGAATCTCCACACTAAAATATGTTAAACAACAACTAGAATCAACATCCAACTCAGCTAGAACCGCACAAAACAACATCTACAAACCTAAATTATCGGATTCCCAAAAATACCAAAAATTGACATTGTTTTTAAGAAATCAACATCCAAATCATTTGCGATTGAAAAACTTATTTAATAAGATTTTAATTACTCCAAAAACAACTCAATTTCATTACGAAAACCTCAAAATCATTCAAGAAATCAACACATTAATTAGCTCTGAAAATAAATTAAAATCTTAGAAATCCTTTAAATGAAATCAACAATTCAATAAAATCATTAACACTTAGTCCACTACTAGAAAAAACCCCTTTAATGACGCGCATTGCGCGTCATCTATGGGTGCGGATTACACACAAATGCCTGTCGTTGAAGCCACCGACATGAATTTTTGATGACGTGCATTTGTGTGTCATAAATCTATGACGCGTATTTATGACACGCATTTATGACGAGCATTTAGCGTCATTGAAGCCCCCGTCATAAATGAAGATGACACACATTTATGTGTCATAAATTTATGACATGCACGTATGACTTACATTGCGTGTCATTGAAGCCCCCGACATAAATGAAGATAACACACATTCGTGTGTCGTGATTGTATTTTGTAAATTATATATATATATATTGTAGATTTACAAATAATCAAACTAAATCACATTTAATGCCTCATAATACTAAATATATATATCATATTATATATAAGCAATTCATTTGCATACAATATATTCACATTAAGTTATCAAAAATATTGTAATCATATGTCGATACAAAATATCACGGCATAATAAAGTTCTACTAATATGCCCTCTCCATCCGGGCATGTACACAAGAAATCATCATCAAGTTCTACTAAAGGGGATTCTTGTGAAAAATCAAAAGTGGAGTACTTCTTTCACCTTTACCATAATGCTCCTCCAAATGTGCAAATTGTCATTTGAATCGCTTAACGCCACTATTTGATTGAAAAAAGAAAAAGAATACAATTATTTGCAATGCTAAAAGTAAATGTTATCAACTGGAATTTAGAATTTCCAGACCCCCACCCCTTATATTTCGCTTAAGCACTACATAACTTGAAATAAGGATTCGGTCTACAAAACCACTCAAAAAGTATTACTTTACTAAGTTGTATCTAAACTGTATAAGGACAATCTTGGACATCATATTAAGAAACAAGAGGATTTTTTTAAAGGATATTAAGCAACAAAAGTTAAGAGCTTGAAAGGTACATGAAGTTGGTCTGATCCCCACTGAGGAGGTACTCCTGTAGCATCTGGGGATGATACTCTATTATCTGTTAGGCCATAAATTGGTTAAGCTATATCATAAATAGAAACCAGATAATACCAAAGCAACAAATGTGGAGTACCTCTCTATAAATCAGCTCTCTAACATCATCTTTTGCCAATTTCCTTCTCTCAAACTCAAATTCTAATTTCGAAATAGGTTAAGTGGATGGTTCACGATCCACATTTGCTAAACCATAAAAGTATAGATCAGCTAATGCCTGCCAGCGTAGAACAACATCATTAGGAATATTAGAAGCTTGTATGTCATGATCTAACTGTCAGATTTATCATTTGTAGTTGATTTAATTCCAATGATGAGAAGAATTATCATATCTTGATGAAATGATGCTGACAAAACATCAAATCAAAATTTGTATCATTCAAGATAACCCATTCATGGATTTCAATTCTATAGGAAGCATATCCTTTATGTTTTCTGAATATAAAAAGTGTTAGCAAGAAACTCCATTTTTTTGTAAATTTCAGGGTTATCTATTATATGCATACCTTGTTTCCTTTTTAGTGCTTTTGAAAGAAAAAATTAAATACTAGGAATTTTCAATCTTACTTCTTCAGCTGTGGGACGATCTTTTGGATCAAATGCAAGTAAGCGCTCAAGTAGGCGAAGAGCCCCGAGATCCACATTAGGGAACTTCTGTGAGAAAGGAACCAGTGGCTAAATATTCATGATAACAAAGCATGATATAAAACCATATTTGAATACAGATGGAACTAATGAAGAGCGCATAATATTTTTCTTTGGCACCTAGACTTTGCTAATACGATCAATTCCATGAGCTTATAAAACATGCATAATAAAAAAGAGATAGTTCTAGTAAAACCATAACTTGATATGGAAATAACAATTTAAAGAGAAAGGCGCTAATGAATCATAACAACATATCCAAATGTCATATTCGATGCATTACTTTTCAACCCTAACAAAGCAATGTGCACAAATAACACCATAAAGAACAAAATTGAAACATGGGTGTAGGTTAATTGCTAAAGCCTTGAGTACATGCTCAGGTGCTATTGTTCGTTTATCCTCTCTGTTACAAACTTCATTGGACTCTGATGAAATAAGATTAATGAACTCTGCAAGAGGATTGAAGTTTACGTTAGTTACACAAAAACAAAAACAAAATTAATACTATCATAACATTATGGTTAGAGACAGCAGAATTCCAACGATATAAGAGAAGTGAATATAAATTGTCAATCTACTTGCCAAACAACATTCTAACAAGAAAACGTTTTCCACCTATATCTTCAATGACAACAAATTGTGGTGTTATAACCAAATAAGATTACCCATTATATGAAAATCTGGAATCAGGTTTTAAAGCCACATTAACAATATGAAATAACAGATACCATGTTCCTCTTCTGCACTTCTTTGAAAAAGATTTGATTTTCGTGCAATAATAAGAGGTTTTCCGATATGCCAAGACAGTAGCAAGTACTTGAATGTTGTGCACTTCCAAAAACCTGCAAGACAGTCCCTGACCGGAGATCTATAGGTGTTAAACATTTTGAATCTTCCAATGTAATAGAAGCACCAGACTGGAGAAGAACACTCGCTACAGCAAGATGACCGAAATGTAGAGCCCTATGAAGGCTACTCCACCTAGATTCTCCGTCCTGGAACAAGGATTACGAAGAGTCAAAAAAATGGCTTGAAGCTAATTGCACCATCATACATCTGACATCTCTATGACTTCATGATGTTTAAAACAAGATCATCGATGTTCTAAAGCAGGATACTTGATAGACATCCACAACGAACTTGAAAACATTTGATCAACAAAAGGATAAGAATTACACACCCTAGCATCAGGATAAGCACCAGAAGCTAGAAGCCTTCGAATAATGAGAATGTTGTTTCTCCAAGTTGCAATGTGAAGAGGAGTCAGACCCAAACTGTTCCTCGAATTGATATTACTTCCATTCTTCTTCAATAGCGCCAATACAGAATCTACATCAGGCAAGGACCCTTCTCCCACAGCATGCCACAAATCTTTATATGAGGCACCAGATGAGCCTTTTCGCATGGATTTTTAGAGGCTCTGCTTATGTCCTTGAGGTTAATTTAACATATCCACAATAATTTAAATCCAGAGATCACTATAAATACTCCTAAAAGTTATTGAAAATTCAAGTTTTGAAGTGACAGTCCCTCCAACAGATTACGACAAGAGCCAAAGATTCTCCAAATGTCTATAAAGAAGTTAACAAAAGCCAAGAGGTAATAACTTCCTAGCTACTTTATTCCATCTAGTCTATATTTTAACAAGAAATCAAAAAGCTCTAGATTCTAGAATCTAGTTCCATTTATGTGGAGAGTTTGTCAATAACAACATATCATCCCACCATCATCTTTGATGTAGTTACAATATATCTCCTACAAAAAGGCGAACTGATGTGCTGCATTCAAAACTTGTTGTGTCAGCATAAAATACCTTGTAGAGGAAATATGATAACAAAAGAAAAATGAATGATCAACATTAAAGACAACTCAATCACCGGATAGCCAACCAAAATGGAAAATGAAATAAATTCATATGCTAAGAGCCAAAAGGGAAAAAACTGTGCCGGAATTAGAGATAGAGAGATGAAGAAGACAATGGCTGTAGACAGATTCATTTCTAGGAAATTTTAATGGTTGATCTAAATAAACAACACAAGCAAAACCTCTAGAACAAAACCAAAATGCAAACTATGAAGCAATAGCAAAAGAGAATAACAGATCAACCATAGTAAACTCAATTTGCAGATCCAAAATTACATGAAATTAACAAAAACCCTTCATTAGAAATCAAACCAAAAAATAAAAACTTCACATAAAAAAATAGTAGCTTACCAAATCAATCAATAAAAAAAACAAAAAAAGGAAATACCCATTGTAAAATTCTACATAAATTTCACAAAAACAACACAGAAATGTAGAAAATACAACATTTTTCTATTGGAAAGATCAAATCTTTTAAAGCTAACATGAAAGAGAAATTCCCCCCTGAGAACCCGTTGGATGTTAGAAGAAGAGAAATTTGAACAAAAATTAAGAAAGGAAGGAAGCTCGTGGGGGAAACAGACTCACCGAGTTACTAAGTAAGTACTAGGGGAACTTTTTCCACATTTCAATTCCTTCAATTCGGTCACCTAATCATTTAATTAAACTTTCATAATTAAAATTAACCATCTAAAATCACTTAAAACCTTTCCAAAATATTTTTAAAACTAAAATATAAATTTTAAAAAATTTCTTCCTTTTTATCGAAAATTCGAAAATCGACCCAAAATCAACCCTAACTACCAGACCCGATTTTAGGACGTTACATCGGCTATAGTCCAACAAATTGCTTCTGTGTGAGCACGTAAAACCTTCACTAATATCTCTTCGTACTCCTTTGAAAGTTTATTTGAAATAATAACCATGAGGGTGGCCTTTTCTCCTAGGAATGCATATTTGAGATGATATGGTAGTTGTTTAAGTTGAATCAGTGGTGCTTACAAAATTGAAGGTAAAAGTTTAGATTTACTCGGGGTTAGTCGCAAATCAAATTTCGATGACACATGTTAAAACAACCAACATGAATAAACAGAAATTACCAATGATGATGTGGCGTAGACAGCCCATAGACCGAATAGGTCAAGGAATACCACGAGAAGAATGAGAGGTGAAAGAAGCACCAAAGGAAACAAAAAGCAAACAACCATAACTATAGAACAAGGGACAAAAACTACAAACGAGATTAGTGGTATCGAAAACATAAAAAATTAAACTACTTTATTTGATGTTTTGATTGACACTGAGAGGATAAAAGGAGGTGCGATGACCATAGTATAAAATATCGGTTGCGGTGTCGAGGTTGCGGATGTTACGGATGTTACATCACGTGTTGTGGCTGTCGCAGGGGTGATTTCTTCCTCAAAAATCACAATACTTCTAAAATATTTTATCGTGTTGCGTTAATATTGCGTCGCGGTGACCTTAAAACCATTACGATGCGGCCGTTACACTGCGTTGCAGCCGTAATTTAATACCATGGCGATGACCAGTACACCAGTAGGAACGAACTACCACATTTTGGTAAAGGATGAAGTAGATCACCAAACACAAACTAGCGCTTAAAAAAGAAAATCATGTGGCATGTCTATCAGGGAAAGAACCAAGAAAGGAGAAACACATAAAGTTACGAGCAAATTACATATGGGAAAACAAAATGCCCTTAAGCTAAAGAAATCAGGTAACCACAAAATACCAGAAACCCAATCCTATCTGAATGGGCCCAAACGTTAGCATCTCAAAGTAGTGCCAAAAATCAATTGAGAAACAAAGGGAGTATTGCAAATCTAGTAGCAGGGAAAAAACACTACCGCGGGAAACAAGGAAGAAGAGAATAATATGAACCCATGTCAAGCCAGGATAAGCGATGAAATGAGAGGGATAATCCCCAACAATAATCCTAATATCCTTTGACTAGCATCTTGTTTTAGAATGTGTACGGGTAGTTAAACCCGCCTTTCGACGTCACTTCAAAGAGATTTTGACAACCCGAAGAGCCAAGATCTTGGCTTGTTTTTGAAACCAAAACCAACGGGGTAAGAGAAGACAAAACTATTAGCTCTATTGGTTTTGATAACTCGTTCTGAATTGAAATAGAAGGCTACAGTGAGGGGATCTGACTCTTTGGGATATCTTAGTTAAGATTGAGATTCTTGAAATCTCCACTCAGTACTTGCATGGCAAATTTAAAGAAAAATTATGATTAGATGGCATTATATTACTATGGTTTATGTTGGGTGAATTCACGAGATAATGTTCTCGAAATAAATAATTAACGAAATAACGTGCTCCCAATATTATTTGTTGAAATAGGGCGAAATCAACAGTGGCCGTAGGTCGCCATGCACTCCCAACGACCTCCTAGGTCGCCATGCACGCCCGGCGACCAAGGAGGTCGCCATGCACTCGCGGCGACATCCCCTGCTGCATGCTCGCCTGCTCGCGACCTTGCCGGGACTCCATGGCGACCTACACATGCACGATCTCCCCATTCTTCCCATGCATGAACCGATCCTTGGTCGCCCCGAGTGCCCCATGCATGAACCGATCCTTGGTCATCCTTGGTCGCCTCGAGTGCCCCATGCATGAACCGAGCACTGAGTGCATGGCACGATCTCCCCATGCATGCAGGAGGAGGAGTGCATGGCGACCTACAAGGTCGCCAGGAGTGCATGGCGACCTACAAGGTCGCCAGGAGTGCATGGCGACCTACAAGGTCGCCCGGAGTGCATGGCGACCTATGCTGGGAAGCTGCCACGCCGTAGGTCGCCCGGAAGGCATGGCGACCTACGGCCAACACTGTGCAATTCGCCCTATTTGAGCAATTAATCTTCGGAGTACGTTATATCGTTAAATAAAAAATTCGAGAACATTATCTCGAAAATTTTGCCGGTTTATGTTAGCCTTAACATAACAATGAGAAAGCAAATTTGGCCACTACTTACTAATCTCAACCCTATTGAAAAGGAAGCTTGGATACTTGGAGAAGAATAGAAACAAAGACAGTAGGCAATATAGAGGTGGCAGCAAGCTCTTTAACTAGTTTATCTTTAATAATGGACTCACTGATATAAATCACCTAGGATAAAACTTTACCTGGCTACGGGGGAATCTCTAGCAAAGAATTTACGGCGGATTGATGAATAAAAAATGGGAGAAAATATATCCAAACTTTAAGGTTGCACACCTTGACCGTATCATCTTGGATTATTGTCCAATCCTATACCAAACCACGATAGGGGAACAAATAAAAAATACAAGACCACTCCGTATGCTTGCTGCATGGCTCGACCACCCTAACATCAAAGACTTTCTGGAATGAAGATGATGACGTTGCAACAAATCTGGAGAAATTCCAAAAGGATATGAGTGATTAGAAGGTCAATAAATTTGGCATCATTATGATAAAAAAAAAGAATCCTTGCTAGACTAAGAGGGATAGATAGGGCTTTACAAAACCATTACTTTGAACACCTCATCTAATTAGAAAAGGATATGAAGTTAGAGGTCACAGAGATTCAGAAACAAGAATAGCTTCTTTTGTTTCAAAAATCTAAATAGAAATGGGTTCAATACGGTGGCAAAAACACGAGTTTCATCCATAAATGTGCCAACTTCAAGCAACTGAGGAACTATATAACAACCTTAGAGCTTTCATTTAGGTTATTGTGCACTGAACAAGATGAATTCATGGACCACACCGTGAAGTAATACAAAAACCTCTTTTCATCTTCAACGACAAAACAAGGAATTACATGGTGAGGGTCACTTTTTTGAAATACAAGCAGGCCAAATAAGAAGACTAAAAGTCAATGTGGTTAATGATGAAATAAAAGAGACATTATTTGATTTGGCCCTCTTAAGGCAACTGGGGCCGATGATATTCACGCAATCTTTTATTAGTGAAATTGGGAAATCGTTGGTAAAAAGCATTTGCCAGCTGGTCAAGAGTGTTATGAGAGGGGAAGCTACGGTGGAAGAAATCAATAGGAAGCTAATAGTCTTAATTTCAAAAATAAGTAACCCTACACTCATCTCTAAGTTTCTTTCGATCAACCTTTGTTAGGTAATCTACAAAGTTATCAGCAAAATTATCATTAACCGCAGTAAGCCTCTGCTGCTCGATCTTATTTCAAGCAACCATACAGGCTTTTTTCCCAACCACTCAATAACAAATAATATTATTTTAGTAGAAGAGACGATCTATTCAACGCGCCTAAAAAAGGTAGGAAAGGATGAATGACGATAAAAATTGACTTGGAAAAATGTATGATCGCATTGAGTGGCCCTTCATCGATGATACTCTTGTGGACATAAGTATTCCACCTCGATCATGGAATGTTATTATGAATTGTGTGAAACAAAAACCAACACATCTAATTTGGAATAGAGTCCTCTCAGAACCATTAAAGCTTTCTATTGGCATTCAATATGGGGACCTATTGTCATCTTACTTATTCGTCCTCTGCATGGAGCGACTTGCAC